AGCTAAGCAATGGTGTATTTAATGCTGAGCAAGAAAGCTATGTTATCTGCACGAAACAGGTATTGTGATTGTGAGCATGTGCTCATGAATGAATGAATTATGGCTTTTTCAATTCTGAATGTGATAGTTCATCTTGCTTTCTGAAAAAAGTAATTTGAGAACTGATCAGACCTGGGTATTTTACAGTTAAAAAGTAGTTACACATACCGGCTTCACAAGTGGCCTGAATATGGGCCAAAGATCGTCAAACGCTGTTCAACAAGTCGAGCCTGCCACATGGCCACGCAGTATTCTGTATTCGAAAATTACGAAGATACACGATCCTGCCAGAGATGCAATAACTATGACGTAAAGAAACCCTCTATCTTGTACATTTTATTCCAAGCTATAAACAACTCAATTCAATCCATGATTCACCTGACTTTGTTACATGGTCTCATTCTAAAGTTTTTTTTTGTAAACTTCCTAAGCTGTCAGCGTGGTGGATTATTAATCAGACTTCTCATCTCGTGTGGCAAAACTTTCAACGTATTACTAATAACGCTTGAAGCATTCCCTTGGAAAACACCAAATCTTTCTACTAGATCTGCAGTTAACAACCCGAGCCTTGGTCTTGCTAAAAACATGAAGACTTGTTGTCTAAAACTCAGTTTACGCGATTTAGTGGACATGTTGATCTTGAAACTAATGAGATGTTTGTTTGGTGCCTTGCTTTTTGAAGATTGGTCTTAAAACTTGGTCCAGGACTTCTAGAAGGGGGACCAGTCTAAAATGCCACGGACTTGTCCTTGTGTGATAGTGGTAACCCTCCCTAGTGCACATTCTAGTTTGACGATTCCAGATCTCAATTTTGTATTATCTTCTCGTCAATTTGCGTTTTCAATTTCAAGACCTCTGATGACTTTACTACCAATTTTTTTCATATTCGCGATAAGGCAATAGTTTTGTTCAAAATCGAAATTTGGGGTGATAACGCACGCTTCATGTTGCAACTACAATCACAATTTAACTATACTGACACAGTTATGAATTTGGACATGCTTTGTATCTGAACTCGAGTATATTGACGGCCGCGCTTTAGATTTCCATCAATATCTAGACGAAATTCTGATTTACAAACCTGAATCGCATTATGTTCCGACTCAGATTCACGCATCGAGAAAGGGCAGTTAATTTCAAGCAATGAAGCAGGATGACAGTCACGCGATACAATGCCAACTGGACTCGCTGCAAGAAAACAGGTATAACACCAATTTTACTTTTGAAGTAAATCAACCCGAGACCCTCACATACAAGAACAAAAACTATCAATAGCCTTACTTTCGTTATCAAGAGCTCATTGCAATGATGGGGCGTGAAACGTTTTGAGGCTATCCTTAATAATAAAGACCATGAGGGTTTATCAAATTTAGTATGCTGGACATCATGAGCAGAAGATGGTGTAATGTTCCTAGCTATTATCTCATACCGCAGCGCACATGAAGACTGTTTATTGGTCAATGCCAACATAATTCACTTCGTAAGAACTCATATTAATTTTGGAAAGCATTTCTGGTCTCATGGCTTCTATTTCTTGATCTTATTTATTTGTGTACTCAGCATTATGCAAATGTCGACATCCATTAGGCTTCTTAACCCCATTTAGTATGATATATTTCGGAATAAAAGCAGTGCAGTACTTAGAAAAGCAACTAGTGACGACCGGTGTATTTTTTTAATTTGCCAGTCGCTGAACAAAAGCCTCTTCGTCCAATAAAAAACATTGTTCCATTTACAAGCCTTATCAGTAGCGACTTTTTTAATGTAGCCTCCTCTGACAGCTGCTTCAATTTTAAACAAAACGGCAAAAATATGTGAGCAGGATTCTCCCAATATGCAAAAGAAAAAAAGTGCACTACACACCTGTTCATAAAACTAGATCCTGCGAACGGACAGTCAACAAAATGCAACAGCTTTTTCATTGCCTCTTCAATATATATTCCTGGGGTATTCATAAGATAGTCATACACGTCAGGTTAATCAACTTTTGGTCATAGGGATGTTTTGTTCAGCCATGCATTTTAAGGTAACGTATAGGGAGAACCATTCTTTTTATCAGCAAGTAGCGTTCCTTCGCATTAGAATCCAGGTGATGGACGCTATAGACCAGGGGTGGGCAAAGATTTTGGACTATAGGCCACAAGATTCACCCACATAGACTGACGGGCTATGTAAAAAGTTACATCTTATGAACAATATTCACAGTGTTACAAAAGCAAAAGTAGAAAACAATAAGCTTGGCGCAAAAACTAAATTTTATTACGTCTCGACAAAGTCTTCGAACTATTTTTTTTTGGGCTAAAATATAAAAAATTAGTTTGGTTGTGGCAGTATCGGGCGGGCTAGATTAAATTACCTAACGGGCCGTAGTTTGCCCATGCCAGCTATAGACTGGAACTATTCAACCAAGCCATTTTAAGGACAGATGCACAACATTTGTTCGCGTGGACTCGCAACACTTTTACCCAAAATGCCGTAGCTAAACGTGTTCTATCTTTTTTTTGTCGACCTTGCCGGCTTCGGTCATTTCAGCAGCCGCTTGGCATATTTTAATAAGCAATAGACAATAGTATCGAATACTTGAGAAATTTTATTTTGCTTGTAAACATATCCTGGAATTGAACTGTTCCAGTGCATCTAAGCTGTCCATGATTGTACAGGAATGACCATAAAGATGCTTTTTAATTAGAAGAAATGGAAATTTACTTTTTATCTGTTCAATCGTGGTTTCGTTGTGTATCCTTTCTCTTTGAAGCTCATAAGTCTCTCCCATTCGATATTGAACCAAAGATGAATCATGCGCTTGAAGTTTATATTGATCAATGAACCATAGCTTTGCTTCGTTTAGTTGCTGCAATAAAGATTCCACATGATTTTTACGTGCCGGAGTTTTTGTTGATACCGGTGAAACACACTCAAGTGACCTTAATATGGGCCAAGAATCTCCTAACGCTGTTCAATAAGTCGAGCCTGCCACATGGCCACACAGTATTCTGTATCCGAAAATTACGAAGATAACCGATCTTGCAAGAGATGCAATAACCATGACGTGAAGAACTCTCTCGTATGTTTTAGTAATAAGTAAAAAGGGTTGAAAAATGTACACAATTGCTCCACGTAGATCCTGAGACAAGCAATATTAAAATTTTCTTCACATTGGCCTTTTGTGAATTGATTGACAGATTTCATTGTAGGTCAATTGTAATCCACTCCATTTTCAGCTGCTAATTCCTTTATGGCAAAACCCGAAAAAGAATGCGATGGATTTGAAAATTAGTCTTGTTATAAAAAGACTTAATATATAGATTCGGATACCCTATATCAACTCCAGCAATATAAATTTCGTATATTTTTGGTCAAAATTAATATCATAACATAATTTCTGAATGATTAAGATTCATCTCTAGTAATCAGTTAATATAAATCAATGTTAGCCAAACCTCTCTTTTGCCAGTGAGTACTCGCTCCATCGAGGACTTGGCGTTTGTTTAAAGCTCCGGTAATTAACGTCAGTGTCAGTTATCAAGCCATTGGGTAAGTCCGGTACTTAACATGAAGCTTCATGAGGAGAAAGACAAACTAAAGCTTTAACAGTGTGAGTGTGTTTACAGTCCGAAAGAATAATGTACTGATAGATAAACGGCCTTGTTACCTTACTGGAGACTTGAAAATTATGTAAGGACATTTTTTGTTCGCTTGACATTACATCGCTGATGAATTCTTTGTATCCCAGCTGTTCTGTTTAGGCCGCGAAACGAGGCCGTTCTTATTTCAGTTTCGTAGCGCACATAAGGGAACTTCTTGAAAATAATTTTAAAATGCGACACCATGCTTCTCAGACTAGCACAAGGCCTGTTCAGATAGCAAAGTCTGTTTGTCGCTAATTAGATGTCGCCGAAGTACGGCCGAGATCGCCATGGCGACCAATTTACATATCTGTCCTGCGAAACGCGCACAATTCTAAAACACTATTATCGATTACAATATATTAGGTCATCTAGGAATAGATGGGCGGTTTCATAGATAGTGCAGATAGCTGCGCTAACTCGATGGGTATGTCAGACTGCAAGATTTTGGATTTTTTTTCAGCTGCTTACTCTACCCCAGTACTCTTATTTGCCATATTTTTCGTCGCTGTAACTTCATTTGTTTGATTCCTATTTTCCTGAAAGCATATCCGGAAACTATATAGCGATAAAATGATTTTTTTAATATTTATTCCAATTACCCTCGCAAGTTTTTCCATATAAGGCAATAATTTGGGTGAGAGTGCACTTTTCATAAACGTTTTTAGATTTTAGTGCACACGGCACCTTGTAACTGGGTCAGCGTATTTTACTTGATAGATTCAATGTTTCATATTTCTTGCACGAGTTGAATGAAGTTATTTGAAGTGGGTCTTTCATCCACAATATAATTGGAACATATTCGACAATATTTTATTTGTTTCCAATTAATACTGACTTACTGTTATTGCCTGGTTCTTTTTCTTTATGTTAGGTATCCAATGCTGTCAGCCTTATGGGCTTTAGTTCAGTTGGAGAAGTATGAAGCTCTAACGGTTGTGTTCCAACACAGCCTCCTACGCCTTTCGATACAACATGAATGGGACAGTTTGATGATCTTCACTCCTGTAGGACATAAGCATGATTGGTGCAATTCGCAACGCAGAAAACTCGACTTGACATCTTTCAAAAGATACGCTGTGCCATAATATATATTTATATTTTAATATAAGAACCTTGAAAGCTACTTATCATATGCATACATTTTAACACAGTAGTTAGTCTGTCAAATGATGCTGTGGGCAGGCCCACTGGATGCGAACCAGTGAATCAATGAGTGAGACGGTAGCGGAAACATCACCCTCATTAAAAGTCTAATGAAAATTTATCAAAAAAATTGACTGAGGTTTATAGATTGTAATGATTCGATATTCGCATTTTGAATGCATTTTAGCTATTCACGTATACTCCATGCACAATTACCCATAATGCCGTAGTTACGCGTGTTCTATCTTGTTTGGTGTCGACCTTGCTGGCACACGGTCATTACGGCCAGATGCTCGTTCGCTCAGGACGTCTTCTTCATTTCGCGTCGGATTTTCCTGTGACATGAAAGGTAATAAGGCATATTATTTAATACTTTGTTTTCTAAATTATCTTCTCGAGTATATCATTCTGTAGTGCTTAGCGAGTACCTTATTGTGGGCTTCCGACGGTCGTGCGTCGACACGATATAACAAGTGAAATTGACTGTGGAGTACACTCCATTTATTACACATGCATGCATCGAAATCACTTGGAAATATGAGTCCTTTACCATGTTCCACAAAATGCGCTTCAGAAGTATGTGTATCAATCAGCGGTTGTTTGTGTATATTATCAGAGGTAACTAATTTTTTTGCCTACTTTACATTATAATATAACTAATCGCCAGCGTTTTCCATTTCAAGGGCTGAAAAGAGATACACGATCTACTGACATGTGATTACATGACTTCCGACTGCGAGATGCGTGATGAGTATAAAGAATAGTCCTACAAGATAAGTAAACGGCATATTACTAGACTAATATTTAACTTTTTTTTTCTATTATCACGCTAGATGAGATTGACAAAAAAATTGTCAATGTGCGTATCATTTTAAATTTTAGCAACGTTGTTCTTTGTGGATATATATATATCTTAGATTTTAACAGATATACGTTGTTTGTCTCGTGCGCGTAATTACTACGATTAAACAACGTTTTGCATACTTTACGCAAGTCTTGGTCTGAAGCCCTGGGACTTTTTTTTTTAATCTTTCATATTTTACAGCATGCGACACAAAAAGCATAGAAATTCGTATTTTTGGTTTGCACTAGGCTTTAAAACTGACTGACAGCCAGCTCATGCACAATGCCAATTATACCTTACTCTTCGTTTCGTTGCTTATACATAGGTATTCGTCACAATAGTTACCTGTAATTGTCGTCTTACATAGCTTAGTGCTAGGCAAGTCTTTTATCTGATTATCTGAAACACTGGGGAATGTTATTTTTTTAGTGAGCAGCTCAATGATTAAAGAAATTACGAAGCGTTAATATACTTTATTCGCACGCAGTTGAACTTTACTAAATTCATGAGGGCGTAGGAGTTGTAGGTAGTCCACATGAAAAACTTCATGGCCTATCGTCTAGCTAGACTACTAATAATGTATTCTGCAATCTTGTCGCCTGATAATTTTGTGACTCCCATGAACTAATTTTATGCTTATACAGCAGCTGGGCATGTTATCACAACTATCCTAGGTTGGCTTATATCTGCACGTGTTTCACTTGTGGAAGAAATTGTAGCTTGCGCGGATTGCAGCAACTGCTCGAAATATTTGCGATCGTACAAATGATGTAAAAAATTATATATTGCTTTTTTGTCTTGCCATGCAATAACGCCGACACTGCCTTTGTATAGATAGGAGGTCCGACTATCCTTTCGTTATTTCATTATTTTGCCTTATATAGTATAAGTATAAGACTATTTTGACTCCGTAATCAGCATAATAGACGAGAAAACAATTGATGAAAACCAATTATAGAATCAGGAGATCAAACGTAACACAATCTGAAGTAAGGCTTATATTTATAGCTTATAGAATTCAAGGTGTAAGATTTTTTGCATAAGGAGTGGTACGTGTTCACTCACCTGAGATTATTACATTAATTATATGCCACACATATATTATTTATTTTTACCGTTTGCCAAGTTAGATATCATGTTTGTAAACAAGAGTAACGTAAGCTAATTATAGTTGGAGCCAAAAGTGCCAAATTGACAACCAAAGTTTGGTGGCTAAAGGGGCGGACTTCCATCACCAAATTGGAGCCAACTTGTAGTTCACAAATTATACAAGTAAATATGAATAAGTTATGACAGCGTGGTAAGAAAATGGGGTATATTTTGGAAATATTCCTAGTGGTCATAGTTTTGTACACTAGTGCCTTTGTTACGCAGCTTGTAGTCTGTACATTTTGTCTTTTTCTATGTGTTATTTTCGTCCACGCAGTCTTTGTTCGACTATCGCTATATTAATTTTTCGAAATCGTATCGAAACTATGCGACTGATGTTTTGCCGAGAACGTTATAAATATTATATGTTATTTTATGCACTTTGGCACGCATTACGCTACTAATGTGCGTTGTTACGTAATCGTGCGTCATGGCCGCTGATTGAATTTATTATTATCGAATCTTCTTCAAACAGGGAATTGGAAGTATCTTTTCATACTGAACTGATTCGGCAAAGACAGAAACAGTGGGTTCAGGCAATATTTTCGAAGATACTGATATTTTCACAAAGGTAGGTATTGTATAAGAAAAGTGGGCTCTATTATCCGCGCGTTCTTTTTCCAATGGTAATAAATGTGCTTTAGCGAAGGAAACCATAGCTCCTTCAGAGGTCGAATAGGCACACAATGATGTGTTGCCAAATGTTCGTATATTGTAAAGTTGCACGTTCGTATTGAAATGAACCAAACACAGATATAATGGAATAGAATATACACTTGAACCTTTAAACAACACGAAAACACCATTATTCTCAACTACCGTACGGAGGTTGGAAACACGCCATCAATCTGTAGCCTCTGTGTAATAATATTATTTGATGTTGTGTAGTGAAGGAAGATTGAAGCGGTCCGATCCTTAGCTTGGATTTCTATTGAACTTCTATCTAAGATTGCCTGATCTCTACTCCCAACAACGAATGCAAAGATATCAGAATTCACCAGCACACAATTGATATTTTATTGCCAACTTGATCGACACAATTCTGTAGTATATTGCGGATAAATACTGTTACTTTCTGTCGCGACTCTCGGCTTTTATCTTTTTTTTAATACAAACCATGACATGCTTATATATATATTAATTTGAGTCCCTAATTTAATGTACTATCAAGCACGGCATGAGCTTTAATCTATATTGTCCGATCAGAACAATGTTTTGTCCTCGGGCTATGGTCTGCGACGCGAATGACGCACAACAACAGAGAATTGTTATGACCAACTAGTTTTGTCCTAATTCAACGAATCTGAGTTAAACCCGATTTACAGCTATTAATACTAGTTTTGCCCGAATTACCGAAACTCGATCAACTTGATAATATTGTCCCTACAGATCTTCTCATCACATAGCGCGGCACTGCTCTAATGCTTGTCCCTTTTAGATCACCAATCAGAAAAAAAGTCTTCTGGAAAATTGCGAGCATTGTTTATGAACTACAATATACTCCATGGATTGGCAAAAATATAGGAGTCGTTACATTTGTTCGAATATTCCAACCACATTGTATTAGTTTAGAGCTGGCCATCTGCGATATCGAAAGCAACCCAACCACGCGAACGTACCATTTTATAGGTGCTGGTGTAACGTATATATTCGAATGTATAACATTTTGAAATTTTCTTGTCAACCTAGGCGATGGTGATGCTTTCCGCTGAGTTTCGCCGCCTTTTTCCTGGTTGAGTTTGCTGAGTTCCGAAATCGTAACCAAAACGGGACCCATGTTCGTAGTAGTTGTGCTCAACTACACAAGGGCGATTTGTTTCGTTTTGATCGTTTTCGTGTTCTGTATTTAACATTTTCTGCACGTCTTTCGAACTTGGCCGTTTCAATTTTTGCCTTTCTTGGAGTCGCCAAATTTTATAATTTCAAACTGCGCCGTCAGGACGCCTATCCTGGAATGAGTCAAGATATTGGTCAACTATCAATTGGGCTACATCCTTGATGTATTGTCAGGTTTTTGTGAATTTCCTTCCACAAAAAATTGTAGAAAATTTAACGAATCTTTGCATATAAGGTACCCACGCCAGTGCTTTGTACTAGCATTGTTTAATATTTCTTGTACGATCGTCTTCTGTACCTTTGTATTTCTAAAGTGATGAATTGTGTACCACTGTAGATTGCCCCTATTTAAATTGATACTTGCATTTTTGTTATTATTCGAATTATTAAAATTGTCTTCGCATACGAAGCCTTGCCGTTGCGAACGTTATTTGTGTTTGATTTGTTCAGAATTCTTGCCAGTGTCGCATTTTTCGAAAATGACAAGTTTAAGTCTTATTTCCCAGCGAATGAGTCCGTTTTTTAGATGCAAATATTTGATCTGATTTTGAGTGGGCCATCTTTTTATCCCTTGTGATTGAAAGTCTGAATTTTTTTTTAAATGTAGGTCATTTCAAACAATGATTACTTCAAGTAGATTGAAAGAGACCTAGATAAAAATGGACTCTCTACTTCAGCTATATCAGTGGCCAGGCAGCCTAGTGGTTAAAGCGTTAGACTTATCAACATCATTTAAATATCAGTAAAAATACGAAAGCTTCTTGTACTTCCAAACTCTAATAGTTTTGTCCCGATCAGTATCTGCTTGTGCAGAACCTTGTTTGAAGCAAATGGCATAGAAAACGTTGTATAGAAAAATTGTAATGAAAATTAACCTATGAAACAATGCTTCAATCCTAACCATCGTAGATCAATATTCTGTTCGCAAAATCGCGTCTTTGGGTCGCTTATCCTGGAACACCCTCTAAGATATCCACGGCCGGGATTGGCAGTAGCATTCTTTAATATCTCTTATACGATCGTTTTCAAAAACGGTCGTCTTTCATCTCTTGATTATTATCCCTTTTCCACTCAAGAGTTCTTGTGGAGGCATTGAGGTTTTCAAAAAGCAATTCGAATCTAGTGTGAACTGCCATTGCTGCATTTCAGTGGAGTTTATGGTAGCATTCACCTAAAAAGCTTTTTTGGTTAAGAGAACGAACATAACAGGAATTTTCTTTGTTTTATTGAAGGCCAGTTCGTCCAGATCGTCTTCTCTTATAAACTATATACTACAACTTTCACTACAATAGAAGTCGTGCACAAATGCAAATTTCTTTTTGTGGTCGATTCGAGTGTTTTCTATTTACCAATTTACTATTTCCCGCATGTCTCTGTATCTGAAAATGAGGAATTGAATCGCATTGCAGATCGATTGATACTTAAATCCTTGGTATTTAAATTATTAAAATTGTTTTCCGCATACGAAGCCTTGCCGTTGCGAACGGTCTTTTTGTTGGATTTGACGCTATAATTATGAGAACGTCACTTTGCTAGTGATCGGAAGTTGCAAAGTAAACAACTTTAATGGTTAAATGTCAGTGTTGTTAGTATTTCCCGAATCTAATCCTGTAATCACTGAATCCTTCGCATACTCGCACGTTCAGATGTTTCGTACTGATTACCTGCCATCTAGTACCTGCCATATTATTTTAAAAGGTACGGGTAACAGCGTTTGGTGAACTTGAGATTTTTTTTAAATATTGAATAGTCCACATACAGACATAGTAGAAACCCTTTAAATATATTTGAAGTTATAAAAAACGGGCAAAACAGCCTAACTCCAGAACTCTCTGTTTGTCTGTCTAATGTCAGAATGCTGGAATGTGTGAAGGCATAACGATGTTGTTTGAATTCACTAAGCTTGCTTATTTTACTATCACTCTATTTCATAAGAGATATTTACCTTTTCCACATTCGCTACATCGATTTTTGTAGAATCCTTTTCAGTGCCAGTGTCGCGTTTTTAGAAGCAATGCATGTGTTGAACAAGAAAATTATCATGTAACATTTATTATCAAAATAAAATATATTTGGATTGTACGAGGTTATTTATTCTACATTGCACAATTTTTATTTAATTTCATGTTATGTTTTTTCTTGGTGAAGACGAAAACTAAATGATATGTTTCTGAAAAAAGTTTAGTATAAACAGAGATAAAAAGTGCAAAATAAATAAGAGTTTAAAAAGTAAAAAATAAAAGCTTCACAATATACGTGCGCGCATTGTGGTCAGTAACGATACTGTAAGAATACCAAGAATCCAGTTAAGTTAGCGTGATCCGTAATTTTTTTTAAATGACTGAAAGAAATCGTTTGTTGCCAAACGATGTCTCTTGAAAGTCTGATTTGAATATCAAATCGCAATATGATACTTTATAATTTTTGACTTTGTTTTAATGACAAACAATGTTGTTTGAGATTTTAAAGCCCCAATTTGATAAATATAAATTTTAGCTTAGTATTTTATATTGGCCACCAGCATCAGCGCA